TTTCAAAAGAAGAAAATCCACATGTGTACAGCCCTTTGTCATCCACATCAGCCCTTTCTCATCAGCATACCCCAAATTATGGAACACTGGTTGGCTCTCTTCACTGTCAGTTAATTCCTGAAATCACACTTCTTCTGTGACATGTCTCATGATACATCCAGCTTAACAGAAGGGTGGAGCCAGACATACTATGAATAGGGATCCATTTGTTTTCAGACCACCCTGTACACTAGACCAGAGTTCCATTCCATTTTTATTGATGTGTCACTATTGGGCAACATTGTTTTTGGGAGACTGGTGCCTCCTGAGTCTGGGGGGCATCAGCGGCTAATCACCGACTGAGCAGGAGGGGGTCTTCCAGCAGCTGATCACCAATCCCGGAAGTGCCACCGGCAAAACTGGAAATGCCACCGGTGCTTCTCTTGGTGCCCCCACTCCACAGCCAGCGCCAATCTCAGAGGGGACACCAGCCAGCACTTCTCTCAGTGCCCCCACTCCCTGGCCGGTGAGGGCCAATCTCACGGGGGGCGCCTGTCCCCTCCTCCCCCCACAATGCCTCCCCTACATGTCGCCTATGACATCGTTCCTCATGTTTCTAAAATGCAATCCAAAACAGTACCATGACTTGAAATTGCAGGACTTGATATATGTTAGTGTCAGTAACGCATTTAGCATTAGAAAGTCATTGCCTTGGTAAAATGTCTTGTGAGCAGAAGAGAAAATCCTAGTCTCCCTCTCATACCAGAGTACTGCCTGTCTCCCTGGGCCACCAAATTAGTCTTCATCTTTCTTGACTGCATAACTTGCTTTTGTTGCCAGTGGGTTAGAGGTAGGAGGTGTTCTCAGCCATGTCTTCCCCATAGCTTGGTGTTTAGATCATTCTGGTAGGATACATGGAATGGGTTCAAATTCTCTGAAGGTGAGGAGGGTCTTATAAGCCCAGCTGCTAACGTCCTCGACAAGCACTATAAACATTACACTATTTGAGGAATAGCTGCCTTATTTTGCTCAGCAGGGAGCTGCATTTGTTTGCACATGTCTATCTGCTCAGGTCAGAAGCCTTGCTAAGATGTATGTATGCCATAAGCAGTCAGGGAAAAGTAGAATTCTGAACAGATGGAGATGTCTTAGTAAAGGTTAAAATTTCCCATTGTAATGAATGGAAGATCATGTGCCTTCAGCATAACCAAGGATCTGTCTCTGTGGTATCTAAGTGTTTTGTGTTGAATTGAATGGGAAAGATGTATTGTTCTTCAGGATGAAACAGAATGCTCCCCCAGGGTGCATGAGCTATGTACTATCTCCCTATTGAAAGCATAGGAGTACTACATGGTTACCTAAATGAAACAAAATGCCTCCCTTATTCTGATGGTAAAAACTAGGACTTTTCTGGCATCTGTGCACCTGCGTCAACTGGATAAAATAGAATTTAGTTCTAAGAGGCTATGAACAGGTGTGGCTTTTTATCTGGGAGAAAAGTGTTTTGTCTTGAATCTAAGTGTGCATTTACAAACATGTGAGCCCACTATCCTGGGGCAATTCCTACCAAAATATGTAATTAAAATGTGCTATCACTTTCTCTAAGGACATGGCATAGAGCATTTGCATGGCTGTCTTTGGCCAGCTTCCCAGGACAAGTTTGCCATTCAGTCCTCTAGGTATCTCACAATGCTCTGCTCCCAGCATCCCACAATGTTCTGCTCCCAGCTCAACCCCAGCTGCGCTTGAATGAGGCAGGCATTCTAGTGTGGGAGGAAGGGGAAGACGGTGCAGAACACTGCTTTTCTGCAAGGTGACTTAGCAGCCATTCTGTGTTCACCTCAAGATCACTATCAGAACCTGGTCTTGAACACCACCCATCCCAAACAGATGCCCTGATCTCATTGCCATGGCATGGCCCCAACAACCATTGCCAACATCATCTCCAAGCATGGTAACAACTGGAGCTGGGATGAGGTAGTGGAACTGATTGCCACCTTGAGGGGATGTGGAGAGTCAGCAGGTGCTCCCTTCCAGCCACTTCAACCAGAAAACCTTCAAAAGAATCCCTGTGGAAGTGGCAGCCCACAGGCACACCCACAGTTCACAGCAGTGCCACACAAAGTCCAAGGTCCTCCAGCAGCAGTTCATGAGGGCCCATGACACCATTTGCATGTTCAGCAGATGCAGGGCAATGTGTACGTACTACAAGGAGCTGTTTCTCATCCTTTCAGTAAACAAAATGCTCAAGTGTCTGAATGTCATAGACAGAACCCTAATTTTCCATGAATCAGATAGTAAGTCAAATAAGACCATGTTTGTGGGCCCTATTAAGCTGCGTGACCCCATGGCAACCAAAGAGAAGACGATAGAGTTGAGAGCCTTAAGGATAGTGCCATGGACATGGAGATGGACCTGAACTCAGACTGATTGCCTCCAGTCCTCTGCCTGTCACTTGACTGCACAATTGCAAACTGGTTCTCAGTCCACCCTTGCTCAGGCAAGCTCCCCAAAAATGTTTGTGTTGCTCCCAGCAAAGCTACCCTCCTCCCAACCCCAAGGTCCTAGTCAGCATGCACGGATACATGGAAACCCATTCTTGCCTGCACATAGTAAGTTTGCTTGTGCCATGGTGTGATGCACAGATCATGGTATGATGCCTCAGCTTATTGCCATGCTGTAGGTGGTGAGTGAGGTTCAGAGTAGGGACGTACATTTCAATTAAGTACCTATTTAAATTCCTCTAATGTTATCGGTTAAACAGTTAACAGATAGCTGTCTATCAAGGACCATGGCTTTATGGGGTTCTGGTGGGGCTTGCTGCTGCTGCCTGCATCTGGCTTGAACCCAGGGCTGCAGCTGAAAGCAGCTGCACAAGGGTCCACGGGGCCCCAGCTCAGCTCATTGCCCGCAGTGGGTACACAGACAACTCAGGGCAAATGGCAAGGAAGCCGCGAGGTACCCAAGCCTTCTTGCGGCAGTACAGCTCTGGCCCCTTCTGCACCATCCACCACGAGGTGCACATGCGCCTGCCACCAGCAACAAGCCAGGCCAGGGCTCTATAGGCCTTGGTGCAGCTACTTGCAGCCTCTGTATCACCTGCTGTGAGCAGCCCGGGTTCTGTGGTGGGTGGCAAGGGCCTGCCTGGAGCCTGGGCTGATCGTGGCAGGTAGCCAGGAGGCTGCAAGCAGCTCCATCAGGGTCCACAGAGCCCCATAATGGCTCATTGCCAGCAGCAGGTGCACATGCACCTCGGGGCTGGCAGCAGGGAAGGGGCCTGGGGCTGTGCTGCCACAAGAAAAATCGGGCTCCTTGCAGCTCCCCTGCCTTTCTTCTCCTTGCTTTTCCCTCTCTCCTGCCTGATCTGCTACCTGTGCTGCTTCTCTTACCCCACTTTCCCACCAGACAGCTCCCTGCCCCACCCTAAGGGATAACCAGTAAGGCATTATCATAAAATCATAGAAAATTAGGGTTGAAATGGCCTTGGGAGGTCTCCTAGTCTAACCCCCTGCTCAGAGCAGGACCATCCCCAACTAGGTCATCCCAGCCAAGGCTTCGTCTACCCGGGTCTTACAAACCTCTGAAGATGGAGAGTCCACAACCTCTCTGGGTAACCTTTTCCAGTGCTTTATTGCCCTTCTTGTAAGAAGGTTTTTCCTTGTATCTAACCTAAACTTCCCTTGTTGCAGCTTGAGACCATTGCTCCTTGTTTTGTCATCTGCCACCACTGAGAACAGTCTAGGTCCATCCTCTTTGCAACCACCCTTCAGGTAGTTGAAGGCTGCTATCAAATCCCCTTTCAGTCTTCTCTTGAATAAGCAAGCCCAGTTCCCTTAGCTTCTCCCTAAAGCAGGGATTTGGGTTTCCATTCGCTGTGGAAAAACATAGATTTTCTCCTTTAAAGGAGAAAAACACAGGAAACCATGGGTCTCCTCTGATAGGCTGCCAGAGTTCCAGCCTACAAGGGGCTGCTTGGGACTAGGAGGAGCAGGACCCAGCACACGCATGTTTGCTGGTCTCTGCTCTCTGCTCTGGCCATAGCAACCATCACCTCCTGTGCATGGCAGTTGGGACTTGGGTGCTGCTGCAAGGGGGTAGGGGGCTGGATACCTTAGTCCTTGTTCCATAGCCCTGGCAACTGGGGTTTTCCACCAGCAGGACTGGGGCCGGGGCTGCAGTTTGGGAGTGAGGGGCCCCAGCAGGGCTGGGAGGGCAGGGAACTGCAGGTCAGGAGTGAGGGGCACCAGCAGAGCTTGGGGTGTGGGTTGCAAGTGAGGGGCACTAGCAGGGCCAGGGGGCTGCAACTCAGGAGTGAGGGGCACCAGCAGGGCTGGTGGGGACTGGGGGTTGACAGTGACAGGCAATGGCTTGGGCAGGGGCAGGGCACCAGTAGGGCTGCTCAGTGATACAAAGCAGGGCAGGGAACAGCCACAGGTGGACCTGAGTTCTGGTGAGAGAAGGTGGCAGAGGGAACTCTGATTTTCTACAATAAAAAAACCAAAATGAAACACCAAAATATATATGTATTTAGAATTTATTCTAATATGATAAAGGTCTTTGTCTGTGTGTCTGTCTGTCCGTAACCCTTTTGGCCAACTGTGCAAGCACTGTCGAGGTACTTAAGGCTGTGGATTCCTTTTTCAAGAGCCAGACATGCAAAAGTCCCTTATGGTGGTGACACTCATTTAAGTCTCATTTTCCATATACCTCAAGGTGCCTAAGCCTTTTTTTACACATTAGCTGGAGCTTCAGTAATTAATTAAAGTAGTCAAATAAGTATTGAATGAGTAAAAAAAATAACACCCGCCAAATAAATTACACATCATGAGTAATAGATCTGCATTAATGAATTCCCACCAATCAAAAGTTCTTTATCTTCATATTACTCTAGTGTTAACATTGCTCCTACACTTACAAACAGCCAAATGGAGACAGATACTGCAGCATGGACAACTAAGCTTCAGGAGATTAAAGCCAACATAAAATAAAAGTTACACGGAAGTCACTCAAAGCTATCTCAGAACTGTCATGTCCACAATTAATGGTCAGTGTTATAGAATAGACAAAGGTTGTCTGAAACTGCACAGTATTGGAGTAATAGCCTTGAAAAATATATGTTGGATCTGCGCTGGGATGTGGACTTTCCCCTTGATAAATTCAAGGCTTAGAAAAAGGAGCCATCTCTCGAACAGACACATACATCGCTTCTGTCCTGAGAACACAGAGCTAAGGTAAAGATATAATATTCTTTGTAAAAAACCTGTTTAAGCAGATTTGGAAAAAAGGTTAAAAATTCCCTAGTTATTTAATTCCAACCCCATCAGAGAGTGTTCCCGTCCAAGCCAAAAGATAATGAGACCCCTAGAGCCATTATTAGAAACTGTTCAAGTTCCAGAAAGAGAGAGCTAATATTAAGGAGTGGAAGACAATGGAGGGGGAAAAAATACATTTATTTTCAGAATGGCCACCTTTTTTTGGTTGTTTTTGTTTTGCTGTGCTTTGGCTTTTGTTTATTTATTTACAATCAGACTTTGGTGTAGAAATTCTCAAGAGGAGAAGGAAGTGAAATAAATATAACCATCCACTAATAAAAAACAATGTTTGTCCTGCTGTGGGAGACCCTGCCTAGTAAGTTAACCTTTATATGCAAAGGGAGGATACACTTTTCAGGAATTTAAAGATTTCCTACAGTCTCCATTTCATCAGCTTTTAAAAAATCACACAAATAGCAGCTTTCACAAGCACAGAAAATCCACAAGCACTAGAAGGAATCCCTTACACTTCATAGCTTGGCTTGCTTGCTTTATTTTTTAATATATTATTCCAATTGAATGTACCTGTGTTTATGCTGCTTATTCATAACTTGGTAGACTATTCTTCTATCTTTTATTTAGTCTCAGATATCATTCTTTTTTAATACTTTAATTCTGACTGCTGCCTAATCCTATTATAGTTCCATCATATTCTTCAAATACTTTGCCTAGTTAAGCATGTTCATCATTAATTATTTTCCACAATGGGAGAAGAGTGAGTCAATTGTTGCTACTGTGCATGCACTGAGGGTTTATTTTTTTCTCTAAACAATTATTATTTTGTTACATTTGGGCAAAACCCAGTTAATGGAAAGCATTCCCCAATTTTTTCGGTTTTTTTGTTTCCTTAGATCCAAGGCCTTAACCACCCATAAAAATAAATTCCTCCTTTATTATTGTTACATGATTTAAAAAAAAAATCAATCCTTTTCTCTGTGTGCATATATGTTATTTGTAAGTTATGTAAAATATTGGCTATATTCTTCCAGTTTGTATATCCTTTGTAGATCCTCTCTACTTTACAAGATTGCCATTAACTGTTTCTTGACATTATATATATGTGTGTGTGTATATATATATGGATATGGATATAGATATATATGTCTTTTATTATATAGATATATATATAAGGTAGATGAATGGAAAACAACACCTTGGATGAGATTCTTGCCCCATTGAATTCAATGATATTTTCACCAATGGCACCAGTATTTAAAATAATGAATACTGTTGATGATTTCAATTGCTTGCTAGATCATTTTGATCCAAGTTAAAAATTACAGATATTTTGTTGGAGGGAGTAGGAAAGATGGTGAGAATTTATGAGTTTGGTCTTGTTTTCGTTATTATTTTCTTATTTCTGGAAAGGTATTGTAATTGTTTTAGATTTGGATAATAAACCAAACAGCCTGATTCTTCCTGAATAATTTCTAGAAAGTAATTAAACTAATAAAGTATCTCAATAATAATGGATCTCTGGACAAATGATCTATCTAGGAAAGCTATAAGGATTATAATATTTATAATACAATCCAATAAGCATGCTTAAAATGTATTGTGCCAGAATTAGATAAGAGACCAGGTTTCATTGTCTGAACATGTTGTTGTGGCTGTAACCTATTTAGCACAGCTGAAACCCTCTTGAAAAATGTTATCATACAGTAAAAGTTGCTTCTGCAGGTGATCTGGGTTCTTATAAAATATTTTTTTTCTTTTTTTTAAATCGATAGTAATCAGAAAACCATATTCTCTGTATTTGTGGGTCTCTGAGCATTTGTCAGAGATAAATGTATTTCTACATAGCCTGGAAAATAAAATACATGAAAAGTTCACTTAAGGAAAAATTCTACAATCCATACTCGTAATGGGTAGTCCACTACACTGAGATTTCAATGGGATTATTCATATAACCGAGGGCTGCTCCTCATGAATTATAACAGCAGGATTCATCAGTGTACTAATTTAAAACTAAGATTTTTGCGCTGTGCTCACATATTGTATCTAATATAGAATATTATATTAGACTGGGAAAGCCTTCAAGGTAAGGACAGTTTCTTCCTCTGGTTTTGAATCCAGTCTAATGCTGCCCTGTGGGCTGCCCTAGAGTTGTATCACAGTAAGAGTATAAATAAAGCATGCCAGGAAAAAAGACGCTGAAAAATGCATTTCACTGGAGAATCCCACAATTGAGATAAATTAATGCAGTCACAACCTGTTAAAATGGACTTAGATATCTCCACTTAGCTCTCATCCATTTGGGCATAGCAGACGAGTCTGTGCCAGATTCCTAGATTTACCTTAGCTGTTTTGTACCACACTTGTGATGCAAAGTCTTAATTGTAAGTTGATCAGAGCCATCATAGAAAGCCAGTGCATTTTGTTTTAATAACATTTGATAAACTCTGAAAGTCAAGGAGGGGGTGGTAAGTATCTTTCCCCCCACCCCGACAGCATCCAGAATCTGCAATAAAGGAGAGGATCTGCACTGAAGTCTCTTCCTTGGCACTGATTATGACACTTACCCAGGAAGCATTGGAGAGGCTCCCACAGTCATGCTCAGCAATGAAGGCTATAGCATCAGGTTTCGCAGAGCAGGAGAAATGAGGAGACGGGGACAGGGCTGTTGGGCGAGGGTAGTCCCATGGATTCTGAGATTCAACTGAATGGCATCACGCTTTGTGTTAGAGGGAGCAGCACTGGGGCTCAAAGGAGCTGCCACTGTCCCCGGTGAGATGCCTGGAGCTATATATCTAGTTTGCTGGGCATTCAGCTAGGAGCTGCAGGGAAGAGGAATGGAGCAACCAGGTATGGATGGAAATATCAATAGAGCCATTGCCATAACCATTCATAAAGTGAGGTTGAAAGAGGTGCATTGAGCCTCTTGGGCTATTGCCATAATCACTTTTCAACTGAGGGTGAAAGAGAGGTACACACAGCATACAAAGATGAAACCATCTCCATTACAGACATGGCTCCATAAAACAATGACAATGCTTAACTGCCTGAATTCAGATGCTCCACACACACACATATCCTCAGAGCTGCATCTCTAGGGAAA